AGAGAAATGTTCAAGCTTAACACAGTTTGATACAGCTTTGTTGCTCTACTCGCTCAGTCATTTTGAATGCTACGACTACAAAGTACACATGCTCACTCAATGGCATCTACCATCCCCACTGACTAGTATAGTAAAGTCATCATTGTTCATGCATGTGCACTCCAGTCCACACTCCTTGGCTGCCGGGTTACATCAATGTTATGCAAACTGTTCTCATTATATTAGCAATGTCTGGACTTTTTCCAGACAGACCTTGTCATTTGTTAAACTTGCAGTATGTTCATAGTTGTACAGCATTCTGTAGTAAGAGATGTATTAATTTATTCAAAGAGATTCAAAGAGATTATTAATTTATTCCCCCCTAGATGAATATTCAGGTTCTTTTCAAATACTGGCTACTACAAACACTACTGCAATGAAATATCCTTCTAAGTATACCTTATATATCCACACTGTTACATTTAGAGAATATATTCCTAAAAGTGAATTACTGGGTCAAAGAGAATTTTAAATTTTAAATGTTTAGTTGACACTGCCAAACTACTTTCCAAAAATTGTTACCATTTGTATTCCCTCCAACAACTTATCATACACTTGTTATAATTCAACCTACACATTTAATTACATACCATACATTTAAAGTATGTGCATTTTATTGCATGCAAGGTAACCTCAATAAAGTTGTTTAAAATAAATAAACTGGGCCTTAAGTTGGGCCTTGAAATTCTTTATCAGGCAGAAAGTAGAAGGATGAGAGTTTATTTCAGACAGAAAGTTGTGGTATAAAAATAAAGGGAACACTGTGGTCTAAATACATAGTCTCCTACATGCAGCATTTGGGGCTTCGCCTGTCGTGCACTCCTTCCATATGTCACCCCTAAATTTCTAGCTCCTGTAGCACGTGATTCCAAACTCTGTCTTCTGATTTGTCAAACCAGTAATCATAACCCTAATAATCAACTATGAACTGTTACTAGTACTGTGACTTTGAACATGTATGAATGCATACAAAAACACAGATGAACTCTTGCTTTAAGAGGAAAATGTTGGAGAGACTATTCTAAAATGTTATCTGAGTTGGCAAAGAATAGTGGAATGTTTTGTCTGATTACCAGCACTCCTGTAGAAAATGAAGATGTCAAAATTATCAAAAAAATTGTAACAATTTTTGGCCCTGGCTGACGTGGCTCAGTGTACTACTGAGTGCCGGACTTCGAACCAAAGAGTCACCAGTTTGATTCCCAGTCTGGGGCACATGCCTGCAATGCAAGCCATGTCCCCAGTTAGGTGCCTGCAAGAGGCAACCATGCATTGATGTTTGTCTCCCTCTCTTTCTCCCTCCCTTCCCCTTTCCAAAAAGAAATACATACATAAATAAAAATCTTTAAAAAAGAAAGAAAGAAAATAGTAGCAATTTTTGGAGCAAAATCAGGTTTCCCCAAAAATAAGAATTAGTGCTGTAGGATAATAATGACTAATATTTAAACCAGAAAAAAAATAATATTTTACATTTCTTTTTTTAACTTCAGAACTTTTCTTAAAGGACTTCAGGTAAAAAAGTGATATTCTATTTGTCTTAGAAAATACCCATGAACTTATTCAGAAATGATCTTTCCCTATAGGCAATACAGTACCATTTGTGTTTTGGTAAAGAAAGATTTTGATGGTACTGTTTCTTTTATTTTGTTTTTATTATCTGTGAAATATGTATTAAACTCCATGTAACCATTTTTCTACTCTTTCTGACAGATTTCAGATGAAGTTATCCACATAAATTGTTATTATCTTACTCAGGAAGGGATGCCACTTTGATAACCATTAAAAAATGAGATGAGACAGTCCTGTAAAAGATACACCATATGTCTGAGGCTAGCAGCAAGTAAACATAATAAATCATCAAGATTTTTAAACTTGTGAATATTTAATATAAATAGCCTTGTTCTAAGAAAACACAATGATAAAGTTTCCCATTTGTGATATTTATAAAGCAACAGAAGAGGAGGAACACTTCATTAGGATGACATATAACCCTCATTAGGTTCCCTACACCAGAACGCAGAACACATGTATAATATTCTGTAAGAGAGGCTCTTTGCCATGTTATAAATTATAGGTAATTTTCTGGCTTATGTAAGACATAGGAATTTATTGTCTGTCAGTATTACAATAACGTCATTCAATTTATTTTTTTATGTTTTATTTCTTTTCAGCAGACCTCAGGGACTCATTGTTGGTTTCCTAGAACATATAGATTTGAGCTTTCAATGTAAAATGATCAAGGAGAAAAGTAAAATAGTCAGTAATATTCTACCATATGAGAAAGTCAAAAAAGTAAAACACGTTCTCTTTATTTTTTAGTAGATTCTATCCTAAAAAATTAATATACCTATTTTAAATAAATTAAAGGATTCCCCACCCATTAGAAACAAAGAATAGTCACCACATAGGAAAAAGTCGAGGAGGAAGAAAAGTAACGTAATACTGAGTCAGTGTTATGTTAGCACTGACACGTAACTTAACCGCCCAACTCTCAAGTGAACGCTCTCACACTTTCACAGATGAATTCACGTTGTAGAAGGTAAATGCCTTACCAAAAACCATTATGAAAGAGAGGCAGAGTAGGAACTCAAACATCTAACAACAAAGCATGTGTATCAATACTTTCCCCTACCTCAAAATGTTTCTTCTTAACACAAGCATAAAATGTTTCTTCTTCGGAAGCATAAAAATGGCAAAAATAGCAATACTGGTAACATCATACATTTTTCAGCATTTAGTGTTTTCCTATGACAAGAGCAACCAAAACTTCAACGTTTTGCTTCAACCTTCAGGTAGGGAGCCCAGTATGAAACAGCCACGGCTGACACTTCTCTTTAATGAGCTGTTCACGATTAATTTTTGAATCATATGCCTTTCGGTAGGAAAATTAATCAGGTACGCCAATTACATACAAAATATTTAGAACTTCTGCATAATTAGATAAGCATGAAAGTAAGGAAAAAATGCTATCCTTTCCCAAGAACATCTGCGAAAATCTAAAATTGAAGGCATCAAAATAGTTCCATTTTCTTCCTCCCTATGTTGTTTAATATTCACTCCAGAATCTCCTGAGGTCAAGGCTCTGAGCCCAGAAAGGGTGACTGGAGTGGGCAGCAATGTCCTGTGGAGGCGCTGGGACCAAAGAGAGGAAAGTAAGACCAACCAGGCAAAGGGAGTCAAGCCCTTTCACATAGAGCACCAGGTGAAGAAGGTGCACTAACAAAGCAGCAGCCTGGCAAGGTCAGGAAAGTGGTTTCATACAGCAAGACTAAACCAATACATAAATAAATAAGGGATATGGGAAGGCAGGTTTCTTCCCATCAGAAAAGTAGAAATATGAAAAAGCAGAAGACGAGAATGAACTTTATTGTGCTTGGTGCAAACTCATGGCTAGACAGACAGATACAGGCATACTGATATTGATACAGATAGACAAGGCAGAAAAGAGTAGGAACATAGAGGATAGGCAGCATGGAGTGACAGCTGCGGGCGTGGCAAGGTACGGCTAGAAAGAGACCCCCCTCTGAGGCACAGGCATACCTGTCTGTGGTAGAGCAGGAACATTTAGAAAAACGTGTCTGCAAACCAGGCCCACTCTAATTACAAGGCACTGCTAGGGGACTTTAAACCTAGTGGTATACTGCAAGTAATCTTAGCAATAAGAAACCCACGCATGGTTCAACTCCAGACAGCACAGGCATGCCGATCCAGGCATAAACATCATTAACCGCAGTCTTTATTTACTGCCCCATACACAGTATCTGGCATTCAATCAAAAACTATGGAATACCTAAGAAAGCAAGAAAAAACAAGCAACCTACCAGACTCTGAGGTTGAAACAGAATTTAAAATAACTATGACTTATGTTAAAAGACAGTGGATAAGGTGGAAAACATGAATGAAGACAACTAGAAATTATAATAGAGAAACTGAAACTATAAAAGTCAAATGAAATATTACAACTAATTTTTTTAAAAATCAAAGTAACAGATGCCAAATGCCTTCAACAGGCTCAAAAGTACACTGACTAGAGCTGAGAATAAGAGTCAGTGAACTTAAAGGTAGGGCTATAAAAATTAGCCAAACTGAAACACAAGGAATAAAAAAGCAGTTAGTGGGATTAAAAAGAACAGCAAATTCAAGGGCTATGAGACAATTTCAGCTTAACAATAACCCACAACCTTTGGACCAACTGTATGAGACAATTTCAAACAGAATAATTACGTGTAAGTGAAATACCAGGATAGAAAGGAGGCAGAGGAAAATATTTTAAAAAATAATGACTGAGAATTTTTCCAAAAAATATCAAACCATACATCTAAGAAGTTCAGAGAACCTCAACTAAGATAAATAAATCAATTAAACCAATTGAACCATGTATTTAACCAATTAAATACATGGGCAAAGCAGTTTCTCAGAAAACAAAATAGAAATATCTTGTCCATGTGTGTTACACCAAGACTTCTAGAAAGGACAATTCAGAGCTGTATTTTGTTGTTTTTTTTTAATATATAGAAAACAACAACAACAAAAAAAACAACTGTATTCAATTTCCAAACAGACAGTTTTAATAATTAATTTTTGGACTTAGGAGGATCTGTATTCAATCTTCCTGATTCACTCCTTAATTATGGTCTTATTTACTTTCCCCCCTTTGTTCCAACCATGTAATTAATTGCAGTGGCAACATCCTGGAGAAGGACCACTCCTGCAAAGGAGACATGGTGTATGGAAACTAAGATCTGTGATGGATTTACGTATTACTGAGATTCTCAAAATGAAAAACTCACTATTCCCAGGAAAGGGTCCCACCAATGGCCTCCAATTCTTTCAACAAACCTTAACATTAGGTCAATATTCCACAATTAAGAAAGCGATATGCTGCTGGGGGAACCTTTCATTTTATTAAATTCCACTCACAGCCCCTTCCCCGAAACAGTGTGTTGCTTGATTTTGCTTACCTCCTCTCCTGAAAGATAATACGCTGTGAGCAGGCCTCCAATAAATCGAATGTTGACTTCAAACACAGACACCTCTGAATTCTGTGAAAACATATTGAAAATATTCACATATACTGAAAACTTTATAGTTTTTTAATGTTTTCAATACTTCATATGTTTCCTGCAAACATCCTGTGGAAAATATTCTTCTATTCTTTACATCTTCATTTCTCATGCAACTGACTGTAATCTCCCCTCCTATTTGTTGATGCATCACACTCCTCCCTTACTGTCCCTGCTGCTTCCTAATTGCCAAAAACAATGGGCCATTTTCATGTCCCTTACATATTATTGTGAAACTATCAAGATATTTGATACAACAGTACTGGAACAACTGTACTTGCACACAATGCCTGGGTTGCAGGCCAGGTCTTCAGTTGGGGTCATGTGAAACGCAACTCACTGAATATATATATTTCTTGCACATTGATATTTCCCTCCCTCTCCTTCTTTCTTCCACTCTCTCTGAAAATAAATAAATAAAATCTTTAAACAACAAAAAAAAGAGCCCTGGCTGGTGTGGCTCAGTGGATTAAGAGCCAGACTGTGAAGCAAAGGGTCACTGGTTTGATTCCCAGTCAGGGCACATGCCTGGGTTGCAGGCCATGTCCCTGGTAGGGTGCGCATGAGGGGCAACCACACACTGATGTTTCCTTTCTCTCCCTCTCTTTCTCTTTCCCTTCCCCTCTCTCTAAAAATAAATAAATAAAATCTTTTTTAAAAAATTAATTTGGATAATATGACAATATGTAAACTTCCTTGAGAAAGAAGGTTCTTTGTAAGCATAAAATCAATAGCATTGATAACAAATGATGATAGAAAGATTTGAATTTCCCCAAATGCAAATTACCTGTGAGAAAAAAATTATGAATAAAATTAAAAAGCAAACAGGAAATCTGGTATAAATACAGTACAGCAGTGTTAATAACCTTACTACATAGAGTCTGTTTGTATTTAGATATAAAATAGACAATGCTGAGAAAAATCCTAATACATAGAAAGAAAAATAGAAGTGGCAAAGGACATGACCAAAGATTTCACAGAATATACACAATTGACCAATATAAAGATAACATCATTAATTTTTAAATAAAAATTAAAAGGAAATATATATTACCTTGAAGTCCTTCCAACATTCATGGACAGAACACATCATCTAATAACACAAATATATTTTTCCAGTATAGAATTTTCACAACACAATGTAATTTTAATAACATAACTGTCATCACACCGCATCCTCAAAAGCAAAGTGCTTTATATTACTCCACATATTCCCAATACACAGCACACAGCAACAGACATTCACAAATACAGAGAGGAAGGGAAAGAGGGAAGGAGGGCCTCTATCACCTTAATAATCTTCTACATAGTTTCCCTGATTCCATCCTTACCCTTCTCCTTACACTCTATTTATACAGCATCCTGGAGCTGAGTGAGCCTTTTCAATCTTAACTCAGATGAGTTACTCTGTGCTCAGAGTAAATTGACTGGTAAGACCCAACATAATCAGATTCCCCACAGCATCTCTGATGCTATCTCCCACCAATATTCCTTTGCCTCAACTTTTTATTACCAAATGGGTCTACTTGCTGTTCCAGAATTGCCAAACTCCTGTGACAATCTTTACACTGAAGATCTTTCTGACAACACAATATAAAATAGTAAAATAATCCCTCATCACAAATATCCTTGACACTGCATTACTTCCCTAATTAACAGTTATTGTCTGATTACTGTATAATTCTTTATTTGTAAAATTCACACCTTTCCTCTCAAGAGAGACAGAAGATAAGAGAAGTTCTAGATGGAAAGTAGGGAGAGAACGGGAGGAGGGCATTATTTAAAGGAGTAATGATTGAGAATCTTCTAAGGTTGATGAAAACATAAATCCTTAGCCTGATAAAACAGTATGAATCTTTTAAAAAATAACAGACACACAGCAATGGAATTACACTACACCAGAGCAAAAAATAAAATATTAAAACAGCGGGAAAAAGACATTGTCTTTGAAAAATTAGATACTTTTCAACAGCTTAACAGAAACTGAAAGACAATGGAAATGTATCTTTAGAAGTTTAAGAGAAAATAATCATCAACCTCTAATTCCATACCCAGCTATAATATCTATTAGGAGAGAACCTTATATGCACATGGTTTCCTTGGGTCTCCTCTCAGAAATGTCACCACAACAGGGTCCTTCAATGCCATCTCCAGTAAAATAGCAATCCCCAGCACTACTTACTCTAGTCCTATTTACTCTTTATTGTTCTTCACAGCACTTATCACCAACTAATATACGATAATATCTATAACTTAGAATCTTTGTTCACTGTGTGAGAAATGTTATAAACAGAGCCATTTCAAAACGGACAGAGCCACCATCCCTAGAGACACTACCTGCCATGCCTTACTCCTCAAACCTTTGGAATACACATTTAAACTGCGCAAAAATAACCTATGAACTGGGAAGACCAACATCATATTCCAAACAGCTGTTTTTAAGCTAACAGAAAAGCAGAAATCCTAACTACACAGACTGAAAATTAAGAACATTCTTTAGAACTAGCACTACCATGCGTATAGCTGGAGAATGACTCAGCTTACTAGCACCAATAGAAGTGCCTTGCTTCTAATCACATACTTATTCTCCTTTCCTTTCTCATAAAAACCCCCTGCCTTCCCTCCTAATTGGAATATAACTTAGGTTTCTGCCTAAATCTATGTCCCCAGAGAGCAATTCTTTTTAATCCCAAATAAATGCTTGTTGCCTCTCACTTTAGCTTTTTATTTTTAGGCTAACAACTGTTTTTCTCCCAAAATTAGAATATAAAGAAAGAGATAAAACTGGTTTTTTAAAAGATTTTATTTATTTTTAGAGAGAAGGGGGAGGCAGAGAAAGAGAGGGACAGAAACATTAATGCAAGAGAGAAACATGGATCAGTTGCTTCTTGTATGCCCCAACCAGGGACATGGCCCACAGCCCAGAAATGTGCCCTGACTGGAATCAAACCAGCGACTGGTTCACAGGCTGGCACTCATCCCACTAAGCCACACCAGTCAAGGCAAGACTCTGTTTCATTCACTACTTTTTTCACAAAATCTAGAACAATGCCTTTTACAGAGGAAGAATTCAATAAATACATGTATTTATTCATTACTTTATTTGGAAGTTTCAAATACAAGTTGGGACCAACAAGATAAGAATTGCATGTAAGACAAGAGGGAGATGAGCTAAGTTAAAGCAATCTAAGATCCTTATGCTCTTCAGAAAGAGGACAGAGAGCCTGACTGATTTTAAACTTTGAGGCTGTAGCCAGGTAGTTCAGTTGGAGAGTACTCTCCTGATGTGCTGAGGTGGTGGGTTCAATCTTTGGTCAGGGCACATACAGTCTCTGGTCAGGGCACATACTAGAAGCAACCAATGAATGCATAAATAAGTAGAAAAACAAATTGTTGTTTCTCTCTCTCTTCTTTCCTCTCTCTCTCTCAAATCAATAAATTCAAAAACACCTTTAAACGTTAATAAGAATACATGTAAAATTTTAGAACAACCCCCAAATTAATGAAAATGAAAAATATAAATGTCAAACTAGTAAAGGGGAAAAGAAATATGAAGTAATTTAATCCAAAATAAAGACAGAAAATAAAAGCAAATCAAAAGTATTATAGGTAGCCAAACAAAGATGGAAGGCTCCAACTCCAAATATGATATAATAAATGTAATTATTTCAAATTTAACAGTTAAAGCCCAAGACTGGATAAAAGTAACAATCAAAATACCACTACATGTATAATGGACAGCTAAACATATGATACACAAGGTTAAAAGTAAAGGGATGGTGAATGACTGACAGTGCTGACTATTAAGCTTTCTTTTCTCGGTTCAAATCCATTATCTGTACTCTGCTTTCTTAATACTGGAACTGGAGCTCTGCAAATGCAGCTCTCATTTGCCAGCTGGCTGTCTTATAGGCTGTGCCAACAGGAGGTTTACTAAGATCATACAAGGCTAGAAGAAGGAGAAGGGACTTATTCCGTCCAATTCACCTCTAGTTTCTGACAGTGTCTTCACCCTGGGAGTGGCATTGGTTCCAGGTTCCCTGCCACATGCACACAATCTCCAAAGCAGCTTCACTGTGGCCCTTGGTGATATGAGCACTAGGATAACCCTCCTGAGAAGTCGGAGATCCAGCCCTAAGAAAGCCTTCTAAGAACTCCTAGGGAACCAGAAACAGATCCCTAGCTACTAAATTTTAATTATCCCAATCCCTTCACATTGTTCTCAAAGTCCCAGGGGTGGTAGTTATTTATTGTAGTTAGTACCTCTTGTGATACCACAATGTCCTCTTTCTGCTTTTACAGTTCCCCATTATTTGGTTAACAATTTCAAACAGTAAGTCCTCTAATTAAAATAAATGGTATAATACTGGTTCCTGATAGAGCCAGTTGATAAAAATGATATACCAGCAAATTATTAGGCATAATAATGAACCACATTAATGAACAGGAGTATTTGAAATTGCACAGATGGCAATTCTCTCCAAATTAATCTATAAATTGAATGCAACCCTTATCAAAATTTCAACAGTATTCCAGAGCTCAAAATAACAAAAAACTGAGAATTAAGATAATTTCCCAGAGAAACAAAACCAGACATCAAGATTCAAATATAGATACCAAGCTTCTCACAAAAATATTGTAGTTAAGACAGTTTAATAATGATGTAGGGATAAAGGAAAAAGCCAACAGAGAATAACAGATTAATATGACTAACGTGGCATGTATAAATACTGGGGAAATAAATGGTACTAGGATCAATTATCTAGGGCCTATCTCGCCCTACATAAAAAATCAAATCCACATAAATTAAAGACCTAAATGCAAAAGCAAATATTAAATATTTAGAATTAAATAGAGTAATACATCTTCATGACCCTGGAGTAGGGCTTTCTTAAATAAGATATAAAAAGTACAACCTAATAAGGACTACATAGCCAAATAGGAAAAAAAAAAAAGACTACATTTCTTGGCCCCTCTTTACAGTAAGGCTGGGCCACATGAGTAAGAGCTACTCAACAGTATACAACCAAAAGTAGGTGATCAACTCTCCAGAAGTGTTCTTAAAGAACAGTCGCATATATTTCTCTATCCTTTCCTCTTTTCTGCAACTGGAAGGTTTACCTACCTTATTGGAGGAATCACCTTGACCCAGGAGTTTGGAGTGGTACACTGAAGTTGACAGAGCAGCCAGACCTAGGCCCTTGGTGATCAAGGAGCTACCCAAATCAGCCCTAAACAGTTTATCTCGGTGCTTAATTTGAATGAAAGAGAAATAAACATCTATCTTGTTTAAGCTATTTTATATTGGGGTTTCTGCCACTCACAACCAAACCTAAACCTACCTGATAATAAAAATTGTTCTAATTGAGATAAATCCAAAATGCTTGAACAATATAAAAGAAAGCAATCAGTTTTACCTAGTTAGCATCAGGAAAAACATCAGAGAAGAAATAATTGTGGATTTAAATCACAACCGAAACAATGCAGAATCTGCCAGAGAGAAACACACATAGAAAAGGAGTGACCTCTGACTGCAGTGGGAGGATCAGCAAGCACAAGTATCGTGAGAGGTGGTAATGAAGACGTGAAATAGTCCACACATCTTTAGATGAAGACTGGTAATAATGAAAATAATTGCTACCATTTAATGAACACTTTATATGTACCAGATTATCTCAAATGACCCTCACAATATTGCACTAGGATAGTAAAATTTTATGATAGGTTTAGAAAGAACAAGAAACTTTCCGAAGTCACACAGGTAGAATGTAGCTGTGCTGGGCAAACCTAAGCAGTAGCACTTAACACCTGTGCTGAAATACTAACATGGGTCTAGAGCTAAGCAGGAAGGTTCATCAAAGCCTTACCAAATAATTAAATCTTTAAAAATAATAACAAAACATTTATTATTCACAGCTTATGCTTTCCTCAAGTTTCTAGTCCACTGTGCTCTCCCCCTAACTACTGCCCTAACACACTGCCTCAAATAAGGGCAAGAAAAGTAGAAGGAAGATGGTGAGAGAGTTTACTTTATGCAAAAATTAAATAACTGATAATCCCAAAAGAAAAAGAGGGACTTAGAATATCCTTAAACTGCTAGCATAATGCTCAAAATTCTTATGGTTGGACACTGTATCCTTTCATAGTCAATCATAGAAATTATCAATCACACACTCACCACACTGAAATCAAGGTTGTCTTCAATCCACTTTTGCCCGTCGCGGAATTCATCGTGGAGTCCCATGATATAAAGGGTATCCAAAGCATCTACTATGGTAGCACCCAATTGTGAATTTCCTGTATTTGGAGACGAAAAACTGTCATTAAAATGATGCCCTTCACATAAGATCTATTATAATATTTTATATATAAAAAGCAAATCATAATAGGAATATAAGGAGCAAAAAGAATATCCAACATGGTTCACTTTTCCATAAAAACAGATAATATACATTGTTTAATATATTTACTTAAAGATGGCACACTAACAACTAATAGGATAAAGCAAAACTAAAATTATAATTGTCCTTTTCTTCCTGGCCATAATCTACTTAACTAAGATTTTTTTAAAAAGAGGAGGATTAATTCAAGAAATGGGAAGGGTAGTTCAAGATGATAAGCTAAGACATAAGACAATGATGTTCTTCTGGTACATATTTGTAGAAAAGACAAAATACACACTTAAAAATAACAACATACATATGACAAGGCTAGATAACCGTGGAACAGAAATAATCCTTAGCAATCAAAAAGCAGGTTCATCATAGTGAAAAAGGAAACCATAAAATAAAATGTGAGTAGAGAAAATCAAAATAATTAGATCTGCCCATCTTCAAGAAAGAAATAATCCTGATCTTAATGGAAATGTTTCCACAAGGGAGGGACTAATTAAAAAAGCTAGCTGCCCCACTAGTGTGGCACAGTTGGTTGGAGCATAGTTCTATAGACAGAAAGGTTACAGGTTCGATTCCCAGTCAGGGTACATACCTGGGTTGCAGGCCATGACCCCCAGCAACCACACATTGATGTTTCTCTCTCTATCTCCCTCCCTTCCCTCTCTAAAAATAAATAAATTTTTTAAAAAAAAAGCTTGCTAGTATCAAAACTGGATACTGTAAGCTAGATACATGTAAACACATGACAAGAAAATAGGCCCATCTTACCAATGAATGTAAGCGCACAACTTCTGAATAAAATATTAGCGAACACACCTAGTAGCATAGTAAAAAGATAAATAGTGGGGAGCAGATGCGTCCTCCCCAACCTCGGGAATGGAATTATTATTTCTATCTTCTGAGAATGAAAATCGTTCACACAGCTTACTATCTACATTAAAATGACTTTATTATTATACTACCTTCATCAAGAGTTTACTATTTCAGGAGTCTCTTGCTCAGAAAGACAAAAGCTGCAAAATACTTTTACTGTTCATTCCAGAAGCTTCCTGAAAGACTCATGAAAGCATCAAAAGAAAGTATCAAATGATGGCTTACATCCCAAAACTCTGAACTCTGCCTCTAAATTCTCCATTTACAAATGCTAAATTATTGTGTCATAATCCTTAACTGATCATAAGCAAGCATCCTCCAATTGAAAGGCCCATCTTAAACAGGATTTTAAATCTCAATAAATACCTCAACCTTTTCCTTCCCCATCTGATGGGTTTCTGCTCTGGTGAGGTAGTGATCTACCTTCCCAAAGTAAGCATTAAACAAAGATATAGTTTTGTCTTATCAACAAGTTATCTTGGTGATACTTTAGGAGTTAGCATTTGACAGTAAGTACTTAAGTTACTATTCTTTCCTTTTTCCTTCTAGTCTTTTCCCTACTGGGTAAATAGTATTTTCTCATTTGAAGTTTTAAAGCTATACAAGTGTAATAGAACAAAAAAAATTTAATAAATTGATGTATTATGAATATCTCAAAAATGTGATAGGCTTACATTTGAAAAAACATTAATGTTTGATCTAGTAAAAAAAATAAAGCTATACAAATCTGTTCTTATAATAGATGTCTTTCACTTACATCACATTTTCTTGTCCATGTGCTCCTAACAATGTCTTCAACTTATCAAGAAGTATATCTTCCCACTAACAAGACAGATACTCTACCACATTCTGATAAATTCCTTGGTCTTCTCCCAACTCAGTTCTCTTCATGTTGACATTAACTAGAATGTTTGTTCTGGGTTATTACAGACACATTCTCCTTTTACTTTTCTTGTCTTCAGCTTTTATTCAGACAACAAAAACTTTATCAAGCCATTTAATCACCCATATAACCCTATCTCTTGCATAATCACATAAATATACATTTTTCTATTTTAGTATTTTGTCCAAAATATTTATCATGCTTATTATAAATCCTTAAGAGTACCATCTTTTGTTCTTATTGCAAAGTTTATAGATAGTTATAGGCTTGTGCCATCAGCTAAAAGCCCAAGGCAGAGACAGACGAAGTTGACATACTGGCTATCACTAGGATTGTTCTCCTAGACAACCCAAGATTTCAAGTGGAAAGATTAAAAGGGCTTTGACCCAACTACCCTTGGGTCAAAGAAGAAATAAAACATGACACTGCAGAATATATAAGGCACTAATAAAATTTATTGTGAGAACACAGAAATCAACTAGAGCAATTCTAAGAGAAAAACTCATAACTTAAAAACTTTATATACTACCTAACAAGAACAAATGAAAATAATTGAATTCACAACATTCTCCTAAGAAGAAAGAAAAAGAATAACTTCAACAACAAAGCAGATGAATTGGAAAAGCTAAAGGCAGAAATTAATGAATTAGAAATGAAGAAAACTGTCCAAGTAATAAATTCAAGATTATTTCTATGAAAAGACCTATACAATGAATCTACCATTAACCAATTTTTAAAAAGTAGTCACAAGAATACAAAAAACACAAAATAAGAAATAAGAATGCATCAACAAACAGATACAGAGGAAATTAAGAAAACTATAAAAAGCCAGCTTTAGTCATATTGGCTCAATAAATTTTTTAAAAATGAATGGAAGTGATGACTTTCTAATATATGAATATATATAATATTTTGACTTATGAAAGAAAAAAACAGAAAATTCCTAACAAAAAGACTAAGAAAAAGAAAACATTCAGTTCTCAAAGGGCTACCATTGTAAGTTTCATAAAATAAATTCTACTTTAATTTTAAGTATGATAACTTCTACGAAAACTTTTATAGAATATAAGAACTTAAAATTCAATTTATGAAGTCTGCATATTATTGATGCAACAATCTAACATAATAAGAAAAATTAAACTACTATCCAATCTCCAGAGTATACTACCTCATACTTCTGGCAGCTTATATATGAGTTCTAGTTGCTCTAGCATCTTTGTCAACATTTGATATTGTCTGTCTTTTAATTTTAGTCATTTTGATGGGTATGTAGGATGTTGGACAGTAGCTTGAATTTTAATTTCCCTGATGACTAATTTGCTTTACTGACTATATGAATTATTTACATATTCTGAATACATCCATATACACATATATCACATATATCCTCCAAATCTTATGGCTTGCCTTTTCATTTTGTCTTTTTTTATTTTTAAGACTTTATTTATTTTTAGAGAGAGGGGGAGTGAGGAAGAGAGGGAGAGAAACATCAAATCATTCAGTTGCTTCTCACATACCCTCAACTGGGGGCACCTGGCCCATAACCCAGGCGTGTGTCCTGACTAGGAATCAAACTGGCAGCCTTTCAGTTCACAGGCCAGTGCTCAATCCACTGAGCCACACTAGTCAGGACCATTTTCTTTGTCTTTTAGGAAGCAGAAATGTCTAATAAAGTCTAATTTAGCAATTTTTTCTTTTATGGTTTATATTTTTGTATTCTAAAAACTCTTTGCTTACCTCAAAGTTACAAAGATTTTCTTAAACGCTTTCCATTAGAACTTCTATACTTTTAGCTTTTATGTTTATATTTATGACCCATTTCAAGTTCATTTTTAAAGCATTTTTAAAAGATTTTATTTATTTTTAGAGAGAGGGGAAGGGAAGGAGAAAGAAAGAGAAAGAAACATCGATGTATGAGAGATATATTGACTGCTTGCCTCTTACACACCCCCAACTGAAGACCTGGTCCACAACCCAGGCATGTGTCCTGACTGGGAATCGACTGGTGACATTTTGGTTCCCAGGCCAGCACTCAATCCACTGGGCCACACCAGCCAGGGCTCAAGTTAATTTTTGTGCACAATGTTGAAGAGCCAAGGTTCGTTATTTTTCTATACAATTGTATAGTGAATCCAGCACAATCTATTGGAAAGAATATCCTTTATCCACTGAATTACCTCACCACAATTCTTGAAAATCAATTAACCAAGCATGTGCAGTACCACTGCTATTCACTTCCACTCATCTCTACGTCTGTCCTTATGCTAAAATCATACTGTCCTCGTTACTGCAGCTCCACAGTAAATCTTAAAATCAGGTCATGTAAACCTTTCAACTTTGTTTTTTTATAAAATGTGCCATTTCACATCCTTTCTTTTAGAGTCAGTCTATCATTTATACATTAAAGTCATTTTTATTGGGATTGCTTTAAATCTGAGTCTGAATTTTGAGGGAACTGACATTACAACACTGAGGACAGTTGCTCTCCCTTATCCACAGGGGATACAGTCCAAGACCCCCAGTGGATGCTTGAAACTGTGGATAGTATTGAACCCTATATATACTATGTTTTTTCCCATACATCCATAATTATAATAAAGTTTAATTTATAAATTAGGCAGAGTAAGAGATTAACAATAATAACTGATAATGAAACAGAAAATTATAATATGCTGTCTTGAAAGTTGTATGAATGGCTTTGGGGTCACCATTAAGTAAAATAAGGGTTACTTGAATACAAGCACTGCAACAGTCGATCTGATAACCAAAATAGCTAGCTAGTAAGTGACTAATGGGCAGGCAGCATACACAGACTCTAGTCACTGCTGGGAAAATTAGTATCAGTGCCAACTATGTCCAGCAACGTTCCCCTCTCCCCACTCACGGACTTCAGGGGTAAGCCCTAACTGGGCAAAACCAAACAAATATGTCCCATCCTTCTGGGTATGGCATTTGGTTCAAGGGTGGGCACAAAACTCAATTAGTGACAACAAGAAACCATGAATCTTTCGATGAAGTTTCTAAAAATGCCAAGTGCTCTTTTCTCTAGAGTGTTCTCTTTTCTACAGCCGTGGTAGCATGAAAATATGAAACTTCAAGCTGCTGCTAAGAAGCCAGCCTAAACATATCAACATACAGAGGAAGAA